GTTTCTGAATGATCGCGATTAAATACAAAAGCGGCACAGTTAACAAAAGTTTCAAAGTCTAAGCAAGCAAATACTTTTAATAAAATCTTAATAATATTTAGTTGGCTTAGTTTAAAATCGATTTTAATGATAGAATATAGTTGTGCATAACAATCCACTTGTCTTTTATAGTACCGTTTCGTTTCGCTAGTTGATATCCAATTAATGGTGAATTCGTTGTGTTGCCGAATGTGGTTTATGTTGTTTTTAATTTTATGATACACACTAAACGTTAATAGCTACGTAAACTTTTATCGCACCGCCTCAATAATTGTATCAATAATTATTATTATATAGCAGAGAGTCACGTACGCATTAAAACGTTCACATTTATATTAATAAAAATAAATTTCAATAAATAAATAAATAAAAAATCGTTTATTTTCTAAGCGTACACATTACATAATGTATTATACTGAATACGGACTTTGTGACTTTTCGTAAATACATATCGCTTAAAATGAACCAAAAATATTGTTACACGACGTTGATCACCATAAACAATTATAATAATATGTTTCTTATGACATGGCGGTCGGCTTGACGTGTAAAATAAAACACCTGGCATAGTTTGAAGAAAGTTTTCGAAGAAAAGTTGACACCTATGATAAATATCTTAGTAAATATCTTTAACGACAAAAGGAGAATTAACCATAAACTAGATCCGCTTAGGTTAGGTGACTCGGATTTTATCAAAACAGTATAACTTTTTAAGTTTATGTACTATAATAAGTATAAGATATTCAGAATGCGTGTGTTCGATTAAAATCAAATGTCATGCGATCCGGATATAAACAATAAAACATAATTTAAAGTTCTCGCGCCGACTGATACTTTCAAGTGCATAAATAAATCAAAAAACGTATAACCTGTATACCTGTATTAATGTAAGCTGCAGAATTTATCACTTTAATATGCGTGCTCAGCTTGATCCGTATATCGATTTTTAAATTTTTCTGTGGTCACAAATGTCAACAGTTTTACCCTATAGGGTTAGGGTTATAGGGTTACCCCTAGTAGGGTTTTACCCTACTCCAGTACAGTAATATTATAGTAAAGCAAAATTATATTAAGCATTATATTATAATTTATGTTATCTATATAGTCACATTTATGTACTATAATATTCGGCGAATAAACAAATCGCTATGCGTGAAATTCGTTTTTAATGACGAATCATAAATATTGATGAACTATAGTCTTCATCGGCCAAAATGTCAAGGTTTAATATCAGCTGATTATGTCATACTGTCGTATATATGAATATAATATCGCGGTACGTCATTACGGGTACATTTTCCGTCAACGCTTTATTATAGTATGCATTATTTAAACGACTGAACATTTGACCTATTTTCTTCTTCCGTCCACGAAAATATACCGCAGTCTCAATAATGTTTGAATCGCAAAAGATAATTATAGTTTAACCTACATAAATTAATTCTATAAATAAAAACATTGGATTCTATTTTAAAAAAAAGTATTTATCAAACGGCCTACATCCGAGTTTTAAACGTGTTCGCGGCGTTTTCTGTTGTAAATGTAACGCAATATTACGCGCTGTTGTTCTGCGCGGTGAACGGAAGGGAAATCATAACACTATATAGGTACCATGACGTTATTCATGTGAACGTATACGTTTCAAACAAACAATATTTATAGATTGTAAATAATATACTTGGCAGAGATTTCATATTTGATCAAAAATTATTTCTATTAACTATAATGGCAACACCTCCGTGCTCGGTTGCCGGTCAGCGGTGTTACAACTGAGTACAACTACATGTATATTTATATATCATACCTATTATATGCGCATATAATTATAGACCATCATCGAGAGCTCGGAGATATGCAACAGTAGGTACCAGACATTCCAATGACACGATAACGTTGAATTAGTAGTACGCGTCCTGTGACTTATACTACGATGTAGCGTTTTCAGAATACTTCAAATAATTTTGTGCTATGAAATAAAATGTAAATGTGCATTCACACACAGTAAATAAAGTGATAGGTTGACAGAAAATCGAATATTTTGTAAGGATAAAAAAAAAAAAACAACCATCAATTGTATTGTTATATTGTCTCAAAACGTATTGATTCAAAACCGGTGACTAAAAATAACTACATTATTAAAAACTACGCTTTCAACACCAGCCCTTTTAGTCATAAAAGAGATGATGTAATTATTAAAACAGTTTAATAGAATTTAAAGTATAATATTCGATGATAACTTAATTTTGTTCCACACTGCGAAAATACCATATTTATCATGTATTAACATTCGAATACCAACAACGAACGCACCAAAATAAAAAATATAATTATTATTTATATTATCAATGTACACATACAATTATAAATAAATATTATTAATAGTATATTTTCATTAATAAACATCACTACACTTTTAACGCTTATTTTTATTTTATATTTTATCAACCCCTTATAATTGATAGTTCGCTAATGGAAAATAAAGCCAAAAGAAAAAAAGAAAATAAATAATTACTCTGAGTAAAACCTTAGCGACAAGGTCCTAAACAGTAGTTTTTAACAAGCGTAAAACTGAGATTAATTTATATTCTTCTACCCTACGGCGTGCTATCACGTTCTAAGATTGTTTTAATATAATCTATAAGTTCATGATAATATCGGGTATGAAAATTAATCGATCAATACACATCATGGTTAAAACATAAGTTATAAGTACAAGATTTAGGGTATAAAATAATATCGGCTCAATTTCGAAAATTTCAACAGAATAAAAATGTTTTTTCCACTATCTATCAAAGTTATTTTGATACGGTCAACTACGTTGTACTAATTAATACTCTACCAAGTTTTGGGATCATAGTAAGTAGTGTGAAAAGGATTACTAGTAAATAGTTATCCAGTAAATAGTTTTATTGTTAATTATCTAACATATAGGCAACGATTAGTTAAGATAACAGAGGTATTATATCAAAAAAGGAAAATAATATGTGGAATACCTGAAAGTAGTGATCTTGGCCCGTTATTTCTTATATTATACACATACAATAAATTAAACTTAAATATTGATGATCAAATCATAACATGTGTGGATGATACTTAATTGTAGATAATTAAGAATAATAATTGACAGAAAATTCTTAGAATTTAGTCAGAGAAAAAACAATTAACGAACTTTAAAAAGTAAGTAATCTTTTTAATTCAAGGAAATTATCTTTAAATAAATAAAAAAACAATTTTATATGACTTTTAGTATTTATAATTCGGTTATTCTTTTTGATAAATTTATACATTTTAGTAATAGTGTCGATGATTATAATGATAACTTGTGTAAAAAATGTCAAGGATTCAACGTATCAGATATTTAGGTTTCACATTTGATAGTAACTTAAAATTAAGTTAACATATAAACAATAATGTAGTGTGACTTCGTTTATTAATACATAAATTAAAAATAAAAATAAAAATAAAAAATAACCTACCTATAGATATACCCCCGAATGTATATTTAATCATTATACCTGGCGGTTTTTCAACATAAATGTTTTGTATGAGGTAGTCTAACAGAAAATTCTTTAAAACAGTTAAATATTCACAAAATAAAGTTATTATAATCTGTGTAGATAAAAAAAAAGTATGAAAGGTTCATCGAATCAAAACTATAAAGAATTTAAGGTATTACCAATCAGATCAATTCATAAAAATATGTTATTACTTGGGAAGAAAAAAAATCTAATGTTTAGATTCTGCCACACTCTGTATCCTTGTTTTAATCATAACCTAGTGAAATTTTTCAATGGTAGACTTGTAGAGATATGTGCGTAATTGTATATTTTAAGCAAAACCGTAAATAAACTTTACATTTTTTTATTATTATTATTTTTTTATTATTAAATGAATGAGTAATTTAATTCTAGCATCAGTTTTCATATCAGTTTTCAGGAGCCCAGTGCAACACTTTAATGTTCCCTTGCGATTGACTGCTGGCCTTGAAAAATATTTAATTAAACACGCATATTATTGTACATTTGTTTCATATTAATAACCAAACAAAGCAATCGAAATTATTGTCATGCATGACGCATTTACAAATTCTTAACACGAAACAATTCTTGAGTGAAAGGTATGGATACAACACCGTTATTATTCTATTAATACAATATTTTTCCTGGATGAAAAAAAATTTAATTTTTCTCTCATCAATCAGTCAGTTTTGAATTAAAGTTACCATATCTCACATAATATCGTTAAAAAAATAATAAATATTCAATGCTGATATACATAGCAGGCGTCCACATATGATTTGCGATCTCCAATTCATAGAATATAGATAACATAAAAATAATTATTACATATTACATAATTTTTTTTTCTATAAATCATTTTTCATTGTATTGATGAACACGTAAAAATAGAAGAATATCAAAATAATAACATTATTATAATATTTGTATGAAATTTCACTCACAAATAAGAATGAGAATAAGAAATAAGAAAGGGGTTGTTTATTCATTACATCGAATAAAAGCAACAACGTTGGTGTCCATGAATGTATACACTGATGTCGAAGAATTGCATATATGGAACGCCGTGTTACAACGATAACACAATTAAATCGTCATAATTTAAAAATTGGCATCACATCAAGCTATATATCAAACGGTAAAATAAGCTGTAATGGCAATGTTTATAAATCTAAATCCATCATTGGCACCGTTACAACTGAACGGAGAAGGAGACTACTCAGTGAAAAAATAATAATCGGTATTCGGTAAAAAAAACAAAAAAAAATGTAAATGATTAGAACATAATTAAATATTTATAAGAATAACTTTTTTTTTAATTAATTGTCATCTATAATATATTTTAAATAAATAATGTGTTTTTTACAAATATTGTAAATCTTTAATAATAATTAATTATCATATTGTATAACATTGTAGACAATAATAATAATTATAAAAATATGTTAATAATAAATGTCGCGTATTTTCTTTTGATCGAGTACACGTTAATTTATTTGGTGAACGGATTTTCGCTGGCGGGTTCGGGCTTTCCACAAACTCGGGCCAAAAACGCTGAAACAAAAATCGTGGATGCCAAAATTAGAATGTGCAGTTTACGGGCGAAGTTAAATATAGAAATCGGCAGCGTGTCAAACGCAACACAGCTACAGTGGAAGCTATAAGCAAAATAGACAATATTATGTTACGTATATAACGCTGCACAGCGGAAACGTGATATATGAATAAATGCAAAAAAAAATATAGTCATAGGCGTTCAAAACTAATCCGATATATTATTAACTAACCCTACATATTAGTTTCATTTACATAAGGTAATACTAAATTAAAAATAAAAACATTTTACCGAAGTTTTTTTATACTTCGTAAGAATCTACTATACGAGTGAAATAAAAAATATTTGTTGATTTTTTTTCGTGGAATCATTTAAATTTTAAAATAAACGACTAAACGAAAAAAGAAAAAACAATACATAAATAATGGTATAAAAATAAATCAGTAGCATTATAAAACATAAAAAATCAAAAATACTTAACTAAACCATTGACAAATTGTTGAATTATTGTGTTGTACAACAAAATTGCCACTCAAAATGTAAAAAAAATTCATACAAGTGTAAATAAACGTTATGAAGTATAAAATAAAAAATGACATGTTTGATGTGTTTGTACAAGCATTTTCAAATCGCAAAATTCAAAATAAAATATAAATCCATTATCAAAACCTAAAAGTTGAGCATTTTCAATCGTATTTATTTTTTTGTGAGAGTTAAATTATTAAAATAGCGATAAACGCATGACTAGTAGCTGCAACACATCTTAATTTTATTGCCATTTATATTAAGCGTAATAAAACTGTCATGTTATTTATTGACTGACATCGCGTTTAATATTTTATTATTATGTAAAATAATAATACACAATGCTAAGCAAAAGAAAAAGCAGAAGACGTCACAGTATAGATCAGGTCAAATCGGTTTTTACACTTACAAAAAGGTCTGGATAGGTAGCTTAAATTTTAAATGTTTTTTTTTTTTTGTTTTTAACATTAAACGCTTAAAATGGAATTTATTTCATGTCGCTCAGGCGGACCATCACTTTTTTAATAAACGCTGAAAAATATTTGAATAAGGTGGTTTTTTAAAGTTTTTTGGTTACAATAAGTGTTTAACATTATATATAATGATTAATAGTGATATCAAAATAACATCTATAATATCTAAACGATAGTAATAAAAATTTGATCACTTACGAACATAGGGGATCATACCATCTTCGTCTTCAGGGTCTAAACAGTCCTTGACGACTATGTCAAGTTCCTGATCGCTTAATTTCTCTCCTAAAAAACGATAATGTGACGGTCAGTCAAACACCACTAAGCAATTTATCCAAACACTTAGTTACAATAAGAATTTGCACTTGCCGAGAGATAAAAGGATGTGTGTCAATTCACCGCCGATCATGTGACCGTCTTCGGCTTTGTCGTACAATTTCAAACATTCGATGAAATCTTCGTATACTCCTTGATCTTTGTCCTTCAACACTTGAGAGAAAATCGGGTAGAACTCATCGGCCATCAATTTCTTTTCACCTAAATAGGCCCCGTACACAGTTACAATCGATTTTATGTTTCATACGATCTTAATTCCTGGTACGTTTGACCGAATAGATTCTTACCTTTCTTCTTGGTACCACCCAACTTCTCAATGGTGGCCAGTGTTGGGTTTAATTCCAGAGCGCGTAGGAGGTCACCCAAGTAGTAAGCATCAATGCCTTCATTGGTGCTGTCATAGATTCCCCACACGAAATCCACGCCTAAACATTATACAATATAAAAATAATTCAATAAAAGTAATATTTAAAATTAATTTTTTCATTTTAAATTTCATATTATCGACAACGGATAAAGTAATTATATGCTCTAGCCAATGGCCCCAATCGGCGAGGCGTTTATTATCAATAAAAAATAATAATAATATGCTCACGTTCGATATCAGCTTTCGACAGGTCGGCCTAAAAGAATAATTATTAAAAGTTAAAAAAAAGAAACCAAAATATTCATGTACACTAGAGGTAACACGAAATAACGAACAATCATTGTTAAATAAGTGCGAATATCAAACACTTACCATTTTGTGTGAGCGTTTTTACAATGTTCACTAACGTGTATCCTGAACGAAAGTGCAAATGAGAATCGACTGAAGTGTATGTACTTCTCTGGCAGCTGACCCACTGCTGGCCAACATTCCCGGCGACTATTTATAACCATTTTATTTTCAAACCTCGGTCGCCTATATCATGTTGCACGTAGACTGTACTTTTATGGGAAAAAAAGGAAAGATACAACAACTCCATTACAAAACAATTGCAGTGATGATAGATGGAGCGAAAAAAATATGTTCTTACACAAAATTTGTATATTTTTATTAAATATTTTATTTATTCGTTTTTCAATTTTTATCAAAATATAAATGATGTACACGTACAACACACTAGAACATAAACTCGGTTCAATAATAGGTAAAATTAACGTAAATTAATAATAATAATAATAATAATAATAATAATAATAATAATAATAAACAAAACTGCAACGACTTACTAATCTAATGAGGTACAGATTAAGTATATAAATCAAACTCCTATTAAATAATACAAATACAATATTCTTAAAACAAAAGTTATATCAGTTTGGTAAATTTTATAAAATATATTGTATTCAACATATTGTGAATAATTACCAAATCATAAAATAAAAATATACGCAAAACTCAAAAAAAAAATATCAAAAAAAATACAACAGCGTTATTGCTTTAGGGTAAAATGTGTCTCAGAAAACTAAATACTACATACATTTGCGTTTATTTTAATTTTATTTTAATGCAACAACAATATGTATAATATATAAAACCTTATGACAGATTATTAGGTATTTGCATTTAAAGCAAAAAATAAAAATGTAAATATTATATTTATAGCAAACATTGAAAAAAAATTTGTACTATTTTTTCTCTTACAAAAAAATCAATTAGGGTTGAAAAAATGGAGCAAATATATTATTTAAACTATTGTACAAAATAATATTCCAATAAATTTCCTTTAGTTGTGGCAGTCTTCACGAATACATATAAACACGGTATATAATAAAAAATTTGTTAATAATTTTAATCGAAGCACCTTAAAATATGAGCTTTTTCCATACACTTAAAACTATATTTACCATAAATTCAAAACAGTATACTTTGGCGAGCTACAAAAAAAGGCCCTGAATATTAAACTTACTAATAGCTACCATATAAAAATATGTTTAAAAACGTACCAAGATTTGATAAATTTAATTATTGAATAAAAATATAATTTTACTGTTATAATTTATAAACAAACAAACATTAAACTTGAATTAAAAATAATTTAAATATTAAAATTTAGTAATAAAATATTTTGACAAATTGTTTTTCATATAGAAATAAAATTGGCAACAAATTACCAAAATAATATACATTTATAATAATATATATTTTTTTATTTTATTTTAATTTTGGTCAAAGAGCATCAAAACCGGCCATAATATTTCATTCAAACTATAAAAATTAAGTATGCCATGTAAAATTTTAATAACAGCAATGCAAGTGTCATTATTACATATTTCAATAAATATTAACAATAGAACATACAAATACTTAAAATAATAAATGTATATAAATTAGCAATAATAGTGTATATTTTTATCATGTATTCATTTTCAAAAGATGGAACACAATTTACAAAATATTTAAGTATGTGATACATTACATTCAAACAATCAGGTACTTTAGAAGTATTAATATATGTTACACAGTTATATTCGTTGTTATGAAAACATCCAATTTTGTATCATAATTATATTCTTCAGTTCATACATAATATTACAAATTCAATAATAAATCTGAAAAAACTAATAACATATTTCTGAATTGCTTTTTTGAATAAAAATTAATGTTGGCAAGTATAAACTTAACGATAAATAAATAAATTAAACATAAAAAACCAAGTTGTAACTTAAAAAAATATTTTGTACTTCTTTAAATGTAACAAAAGAAAAAAAATTAAAAAAATAATATGTATAAATATACAATAAGTACATAAGGTATGTAACAAAGTAGTCGGAGGTTGTATAGCATATATATATATATGTAAATATATAAGTATATCACAACCTATTTGGAATGTGTCAAGGGGAAGATATTATGAAAGTGTACGCCAATGTAATAATTTAATTGACTCTTATGTGTAATGTCTATAATTCAATACATATAAAATAATTTTCTCAATTATAAACGTCATTTGAGATCCATTATTATACCTCTAAAAAAAAATTGTTATATTACAAAGTATTTCTCTTGTAAAAAAAATGTAAAATATATTTCATGGTATTCATGGGAATAGGAACTAAATTCATATATATATAAAATATTACTGTTGAACATTAAAAAATTAAATATTAATTAATGATAAAAATAATAATATACTAGCTAAAATGCTAAATTATGTTTAACTTTTACAATATTAGAAATTAATTCTGTTCGCTTTATCTTTCTCTATTACATAATAACTTATATATTATGTCTATTATTATGTTCAAGTGCAATATTCTAACCCAAATTATATTTTTGACTGTCATTTTACACATAAATGCATAATATGCTAAAAAATGGTTAATTTATATTATCTTAAAGAATAAATTGGTAGATTATTTAACTAAAATCTAACTAGAAAAATTAATGGAATTCCAAAACAACTGAGCACAATAAAAATACTGTCAAACTTTATTCTTGTGTGAGACAGGTTTATATATTGCTATTTTCATAATAGTACATTTTAAGCATATGAAAATCTTTATTAAGTATTGGACTGGTAAAAAAGAAAATATATGTACTATTATAAAAGTTATAACAAAATACAAAAATGGGAAAAAAATATTTTTATGAATGCCATTAATATCATTTGATACCAAAATACTCAATAGAACTCAGAAGACCATGTAAATATAAAATATATATTATTTGTACTATATTTGTGAGGTTTAGTGAAACCCACCAACTAAATACTCTAAAAAAAATAGACATAATATTCAAGAAAACACTTATAAACTAAGTTAACAATATTTTAATGTACGTATGTATCTCACTTTATTGTGATTATTAAAGAAAATTAAAAATAATAGTTATAACCTGAAGGCAGTATTTTATTTTAAAAAATTATTAATTTTTTAAGAAAGCTCTTTAAATCCTAACAAATCAAATTTATGAATAAAAATGTGTAAAAAGTTAAACATAATAGCAAAAAAATAATAAAACATAAAGTTTCAGAAAGATAATCTTAGCCAAAAATAAAATTTAAAAAACAGTTTTTTTCTGTAACACAAATGTTCAAATCTCTAACTTAGGCCTGTACAAACTTTATCCAGTTTTGACACACAAGATTTTGTTTTTGTCAATATAATGCGAGTGATGCGAGTTGATGTGATGTGAGTATAAACCAAATTATAATGTTTTATAATATATAGTACATAAGTATTAAATACAATACAATTTAGTGCACCATATTATACAGTTGTATTTTGGCACATCATTTTAGATCATTCTAATCCAAATTATCCGACTAACATTTTGTTTAATTCAACATTTTCATGAAATCCATCATCAATTACACTGAAATCACCACATTTCTGACTTTTAGCTAGTTGGTCACTACAACCAGACTCTTCAGTGCCTGCACCACCTTCAGCTGATTCACTCAACAAACTGTCCACATCGTAACCATCCACATCAACAGTACACTAAAATATGTACACATAAAAAAAATTATTAGCTGATAGTTAATAATAATTAAAAAAAATATACCATATAAATTAACAAATTTTATCAAAATAAATGATATTTAAATTAATTAACTCACTTGAGGATTTTCAACTATATGAATGTTTGTTGAGTCGTTATTTCCCACATTACTTTGATCTAGAAGTGGCAATAATGCCATACCAGACATATTATTTGAATACCGAGATTTTCCTTCCACATGCCTAGTTATATAATGTATATCATTTAAAGGAACATTTTCCTCGTGTTGAACATTATCAACCGTGAATGGTCGTAGATTTTGAGCACAGTATGCCATATCACTATTTAATGAATTATGTTGAGGATCTTGTATTCTTTCGGCTTTTACACATTGACGTTTCAATAAAATACTTGTAGCGCAGATTAGTATGCAACAAACTCCTACTACACAACCAATGACAATACCCAATAGCTGTTCATCTTTCATATAAAGTGCAGGAGAATCATCAGGATACTTAGAATTAATAGGAGAATTAATAAATGGAGTTAATGGTGTAATGGAAAAAATACCACTTTGTGGACCAAATCCAGCATCAGTAGCAGCACGTACCATAAAAAAATATTGAGTTTTATAACTCAAACCACTCAGCTATAATAAAGAATAAAATAGATTAAAACAATTAACAATTGGTTTAAAAAAAGTACTTTTGACATTTTACGTACGTCTAATGAGTGTTTATGCTGTGAGACGTTTAATTGTTGCCATGACGTGGGTGGCACATGCAATTCAGATGTATATAGAACATAATAGCCCGTAATCACACCATTTGAATTAATTGGCTCAACCCAAGTAATACGAACAGTATAATTATTTATCCAATGCCACTCTATTTGTTCTACTATACCAGGAACTGAAAAATATATTTAAATGTCAATAGTTTTAAGATCAAAAAAAATAATTATCTTTTCAAAGATATACCTCCTTGAAGTGTGCGTATCTGTATCTTTTGACTAAATTCACTTTTTCTATTATTTTTATCATGAGCCGATATTTTTATTTCATATAAACTATACGGCCTTAATCCAGATATTTCTAAAGAAGTTACACCCCTAAAAAAACATACAAATTGATTAATAATATACTTTGTATGATTCAATTTATTATCATTTACAAATCAGTAAATATTGTTGTAGAATTTTGAGAATAATTAGATACTGAATTATAGGTAATAATGAACAGCAAAGATGATAAATCAACAGAATCTGGTGGAACCCATGATAAATTCAGACTGTGAAATGAAGTAGCAACAGCTTCAATTTGAGATGGCGGAGATAATATATCTAAAACTACGGCAATAGTTCTAAAAACTGATTCTCCTTGTCTATTATTGGATACACAATTTAATAATACTTCATACACTTCCAAATCACCTAAGCAAAAAATAATTTATTTCTTATCAAAAATCCATATCATTTAATTTGATTTTAATTTGAAAGATCATACTTTCACGATGAATTACTTACTAGTATAATTAATTATATGGTCATTTTTATCTGGGCTAAATGTAAACAATAACATTTCTGATTGATTTGTTTTGCCAGTAACTCGATACATTAATTTATAGTAGTCAAAATGTACATGTTTAACAGACCAAGAAAGCTGCAAGTAAATAATATTTGATGAAATTAATTTCAATAACATTTTTCAATAACTGATTATTACAATAGCATCAGTCCTGTATTTATAAATTTTGCGCCCCTGGACATATAAGTTATGCCCCCCCCCCCAAAAAATAATAATAATAATAATAATAATTAAACACTTATTATTTCATCTATAATCGAGATTCTTTAATATTAAAATATAACTTATAAATGAAAATTGTTTAATACTTATTTTAATTAACAAATTATAATATAATAAAAATACAATTTTTTTTTTTTAATTTACAAATTATAATATAATAAAACATACTATTTTATTGTTTTATTTTTTTTCATCATTTAATAAAATATATAAAAAAAAAAATATTTAGCCGCCCTTGAGACTTGATGCCACTCGGGCATGTGCCTACCCGTGTCCCCCCCCCCTAAATACGGCCTGAATAGCATGCATATTTTATATGTCATACATCAGATTAACTAATATTGGTTTTAATTGTTATTAAATATGAAAAAAAAAAAAACAAACCTTTATTGTTTGACCAACAGTGAATGTTAAAATGGGTTTAGGTAGTGAAGTATCGATATGTGGTAAATCAACTAAATGCCATGGAAAATCTATACTGGGTAAACCATTTTGTGCTATTCCTAATACTTTTACTTCATACTGTCCACCTGGTTTTAGACCTAAAACATATGAAACATTTGTCAATAACTTTAATTAAAATATTTTTTACTACACTTATTCAGAATGTCATTTTGACTTATACAATTACAATAATAATTTACCTGTAATTGTGTAATGTCTAGTATTTTCATGCAAAATTTGTACATAATTAGATGAACTATGAAATAGCTTCCACAAAATTTGATATTGAGTCACTGCTCCATTAATCAAATTTACATTGATTATAGGCCATTCCACACTCAATGATATAGGACTGAGTGGAAAAATAGTTAAGTCTAGAGTTGTTTGTGGTGCTATAAAAATAAATTGTTATTCAAATTCAATCATAAATATAAATTCTACAGTAAATATATACACACCTTTATCTTGAGTTCTGCAGATAACTTTTTCAGATTCATCAGATCCTGATTTACCATTGTATACTCTGACATAAAAAGTATAATTTTGATACGGTTTAAGATTTTCAATTATAATAGAATGGTCTTCAGTGATATTTTGTACCTCATCTCCACCATCTATAATTCAAATTTAATTTAATTTCAAACAAATAACAAAAATAAAAGAAAATTACCTGTGAGCATGTAGTGCACTGTATATATTCTGATAATTCTACTTATTTTATCTGTCGAAACAGTAGCAGAAGATGATGATGCTGATGAAACACTACTATGAGAAGGAACAAGTTGGATAGAATCATCACGAAAAAGAATTGGAGGATCATTAGAAACATCCGTTGGGGACATTTGCCAAGACAACTGAATTTGAGAAAGAGACAATGTTCGACAACTGATGTTTGTAGGCGGTGCTGGTTCAAATGGAGACGGGCTTATAGTAAACATTGCCCCTACCCATGTAGTTCCATACGGATTCGAGGCAAAACATTGATAGATTCCAGAATCTTTCGATACTGTATTACTGACTATTAAAAATTGTTTCTCCTTGATCTTAACACGACCTATTATCAAGAACAAATATTGTCAACTCAAATCAAAACTAAAGTAAACATAATTTACCATTTGATTTTAGACGTTCACCATTATGATACCAAGATATATTAGGATACGGATTGCCATCCGCTCCACATTTAAAACGAATCGTTTTCACTATAGGCATAGATTGTGTTTCTGGACGAATAGTAATAATAGGAGGCATCATCACTTCTAATCGAAAAGTCTATAAAAATAAAAAATGTTATCATATAAAGTGTACAAAATAATAAATTAATAAATAAATAAAAATATTTATTATTTAATTACTTGAGTATGTGCAAAATCTGGCCATCTTATCAAAGGTTGGAATGCAAGACATGTGTAAATCCCTGAATTTTCTGAACTTACATTTGTTAAACTTAATATGTTAACAAAAAGCTCTACATCACTAATCTTAGTGTTCTGTTTATTTCCTGAATACCAAATAACAAATATTTAATAAATAATTTACATTCATGATTTTTAGTTTTTACTTTACCTGTAGAGGTTGTAAATGACCAATTGAGCTGAGGAGACGGGACACCAGAAGCAGCGCATTCAAATGTTATATTGTCACCTGCTGTTACATACTTAACATTAGGGTACAAATAAGTAGGTGAAATGAATGATAAAGGTTGAATATCTGATTGGGATCCAAAAGATTCTGCATTAATATTTTCAACATTCAAATAACCAGCATCACTTAATCTTGTTTTATTTAATAGATAGTTTTTCGCCATACATCTAACACAAATCATTAAATAAGTTGAACTTGCTGATTTAATAATATAATAGGTTATTTTTTAACTATGTATGCTCACCCTTTTTTATACTTTAACTAAACATTTTTTAAATTTTAATTTATAAACAAATATAAATGTGCACGTATTTTTAGAACCTAAAAATCTTAAAAAATATTTTAAGAGTATTCTGTGTTAATATTATCTCCTGTTTTTAAAAAGGAAATATCATTTTTTTCCCCCCGAAAATAATTAAACAGATAATTTTATTTAAATGTAACATAGTCAAAATTGGCACCCATTCTTTTGAAACGATACAATTTTTTTTATGAAGGACTTAGTATACTTTATTTGATCTGTATGACAGTTTTTATTAATTTAGTATAATATGATATGATTTGTTATATTATTAAATTGGTATTCATTTCAAATATCAAGGATTTAATCTAAATGCTTATCACGTACACCTATTATACAAAAAAAAAAAGTTAATATACCTACTAATTATTTCATAATCTTCTTGTTCAATTTTAAGTTTGATTAATTCTGAAAATACTGATCCAAATTTTACATAAAAAATTCTAGGATAATTAACTGAATAATAATTTAAGTAAAAAATGGAGATGAAAAACTCAAGAAAAAAATGTTTAAAAAATAAATATTCTTGTTTATGAAATATTCGTGGTATATAATATATTATATTTTTTATTTTTATGAAAAAATGATATTTCCATTTGAAAATTAAAAGTTGGTATTTCTAAAGGGTATTCCTTAATGTACAAAATATCTAAGAATTATAGTACACATACATTTTTTATAAATCAGAATTTGAAAAAATATATAATTTAAGTCTAGAAAAGGGTTATTATGCTTAAGACATCCTGTATATAAGTTCATACTTATATACAGGATGTCTTAAGGATGTATTCATATACATCATATATACATGCGCGCCCGCAGGGGGGGCCAAAGGGGCCATTGCCCCTACTGGGAATTTTTGTTTCAAAACCATTGTTAATTTAATACCACGCATATTAATTATAACATAATTTTATTGAGATCCATTTATGAAGTTTAGTTAAATTTATTATATCTTTAGATATTCTAAAATGTATAATTTTGAACGTATTTATTTGTTTACAATGTTTATACATGACTGCATATGGCTTAAGACTATAAATTCTCCCGAGTACCGATTTCTATGGTATTTGGTTTTGTTCTCATATATTTTTAGATACACGTTGTGACCCATAGAATTTAAATCTTGTCCCGGGTGGAATTTTATCCTGCAGGCGCGTTTGCATATATACATATATATATTTATAATTATAATTAATTAGATACCTATAATTTCCAGAATCTTTTTCATCAACGTTTTTAATATATAAAACACCAGGAACTTTTGTTATAAACCTATGGAAAAAATATAATTTAAATTGTTGACAAAAAAAATAAACAAATAACTAAAATTATTTTAGAACAAAATTTACTTTTTGCTACTGGGTACAATAGCATCATTTTTTAGCCATGTAATAGTTGCTTCGGGTGTGGAATTAATGTGACAAGTAAGTCGAATAACAGATCGACTAGCTTCTGAACTAACTGTTACATTGTTCGGAGATATGTCAAAGTCACGAAGAACTGAAAAAATTATTTATACATATTATATAAGTTATATGTTATAATTCATAGATAATTTAAGTTTTAAAGCAAAAAAAAATTTACTAAAATATTTTTATCAATATTCACATTTGAAAATCGATAATGAAGACAAAAAAAAATTTAACTCAAGTTATTTTCTTTTAACAAATTTTCATTTAACGTATATGAATTTTATACAAATAACTAATTGAAAAAATATATTCTAGTGAAATGTATAGTTCTTTATTTCTTTGATTTAAAATATTTTTAACTTAGTAAAACTGTTACATTATATACACAAAAAATGCATGTCACATTATTATCATAGTTATTATTATTATTATTATTATTACTATGTAATTTAATAAATTAAAATATATCAGTTAAAATCTTGTATATTTAATTAATTATAATTAATCATATTCATTCTAAATGTATACAATTATTAAATTCACCGAAAATATTTATTATGCATAAACATTAATAATGAATAATGATGACTTAGTGCTAATCCACAGTTAAAATTCCATTAAGAGTATGTATACCAACACTGGTAAAAATATGCATTATGTTTTATACATTCCAACTGTCACGTACCACTCAATAATCGAACGAGACAAAAACAAATTGCTGTCAAAAGTAGGAATGTCTAGGTAGGTGCTGGATTATATTTTTACGTGACTTTATACTTGGTATTGAGAATACTAGTTATATACAGAAAAAATAATAATAATTGAAAATGTATATAATAACGTCATTCAATGAAATCGTATTATTACAAGTTTGCACGTCAAAAAATTTCCTATTTTCTCATCCATATAACTCATATTATCCAATCCATAGCAGTTTATCACGCTTCTTTTTTTGTGAATGTCTATATAATATAGAACACATACAGTGTTCTTAGGATTACATTTAACTAATATAATTTAATTTAAAACTACGAACTATAAAAATATTTTCAATTATATTGATAAACATACGACCCGTATAATTTAAATACCACAACACCATACAATTATATCTACAAATTCTTCAAAAAAAAAAAAAATACAAAATCAAATTGTAGAATTAACTCATGGTTAATTCATAGATTGTACATTTTCAAATTAAAAAATATTTACCTGCTATCTGCAATGTAACTGTTTTTGAGACAATGGAGCCATAAGTTGTTTGTACTATACATCTATATGATCCCGCATCACCTGGTTTTTTATGCAGAACCTAAAAATAACCACGTTATTAAAAAAAGACAAAAATCTAATTTTATAAAAATGATTAACTGCACATATTTAATACAATAATACAATATTAACGAAAAAAGAGCAAAACTCCTAGATTGAGCAAGACTCCTAGGTTGGATGAGACACCACGGTCGGATAAGATAAGGATGGGTGAATGGTATTGCTGTTATCAAAACAACAATTCAGAGTGAAAGAAATAGGATGGATCAGTTTATATTTCTAAAGATGGTTGATATAGTAGAAAAACCAAATTAGGTAGGTTAAACTTTTAATGTTCTAACTTTTGTAAAAAAAAAAAAGCATCAACAATTTGAGAAAATCTAAAATATCAAGTGCATATAAACTATTATATTATTTTATAAAACCTATAAACAATATAAATGTTATTAAAATAAATGAAAGTTATAAGTGTCATTAACTAAATAAGTAATATCGTTTAACGAATTACGAATATTATCGTTTTACGAATTCATAAAAATATGCGATTTTGCGTTTTTCCATTTTTTTTTTTTTCTTTTTTTACTACAAAGAAAATCTTATAATAAATATATAATATATAATCTATTTTCAAACCTTAAGTATAAAAATTAAAAGTTTTATCTAGAGAATTTTCATTTTTCATCGTATTGTCAAAATTTAATATTCAAATGTAATTTTTTTTCATTCATTAGTAATAGACATGTTTAAGGAAATATTCGACATTTTGCCAACCAAAATTATTTAATCGTTATTTTTGAAAAAAAAGATAAAAAAAACGTGAGATTTTGAACTTTAAAGAGAAACAACTTTTTAAAATTTTAAGTTTTTTTGCAATTTTTTCTCATATATATAATCGGAAAACTATTGACAAATTCAAAAAATCACTCCCTGAAAGTACAACTAGAATCATTTCCAATCTTTTACTTTATTTTAGTGATGATTGGAAAACTCCTGGTCGAAATCGTGTAAATAGACATAATTCATGGTAAACCAATTAATTCTTCGAATTTAATAAATATAAACGCGTCCTATCATTATAATTATTAATAATTTTATTAAGAAATATTCAGAAATATATATTACGTTCAAACTTATCATTAATTCTATAATATAAAAATCAATAATGCTTATATAAGTATATACAAGCATATTGAAATATCTGTGACGCGTGATGTATGTATAAAATATATATATAAAGCACCATATGTTATATAAATACTCGTATATAAATTATATTATGTATTATATAATATTTTGCATAATAGTTCTACGTTACTCTTATTTGTCGAAATAACTATCATTTTTGATTTCCAAGTAGTAACTAGTGATTAAAGTTTTAAATTGTTGCTTACTCTATATACATATTTGTACACATATAATATTAAATTAATGATTTTTTTTATTTATAATAATTTTAAGTTATAGCTGGTTAAACGGAGAATGCAATTAGATAAATTGTAATATTGTTAGTTTTATATTATAACTCGTACTTTCTCTATTTTTTAAACTAAAGATTAAATCGATTTAAATTTATAAACAATTATTCTAATATTAATAAATATAATAAATATAATGATATAGAGGATAATATTCATTAGAATTCATGAAAAATTTAAAACTTCTTGTCTCATACTGTATATAAACAGTGGTTTATTAATTGATTTCCCAACCAACTACGTTTTATTGTTATTATTATTATTTTTTTTAATGAATATTTACAATCTGTATACTTTTAGTTTATACAATAAGTAGATTTAGAAGGCTTATAGTTAGAACACAAAAATACATATGGACTTGAGAGAAGAGGGCATCCAGTGACACTACATCAAATTGCATTACAATATATTGTTATTTATAAGATTATAAGATAAATATATACATATATTATTATTTATAAGATAAATTATCAATCCAAAAATATTTGCAAGAACGATGAAATAATTTTTCGTCAAAACTTGATTGAATATCAAAATCATCAAACATAAGAAGTACGTACAATATTTATGATTTACGTACTTTATTAAAAAACAAAGAACCGTTGGAAAGAATTTTACGACGCGAGTCATTGACTAGATCCAATATATGATTGTTGTACATCCACTGATACGTGACATTTGGCAGGTCCGAATGGCATTGTAACGTGTACGGTCTATCTCGGATTGCAACTGCTATGTCCGGTGGCTCCACAATCCACCCTGAATTGGGTACAATATTGTCGACTGTGTCCGTTAGAACTATATAACAAATAAAATCAAAATACACATTTAATAAGTTAACATTAATCGCGAACTGAACATACATGTATACACAATATAATAAGTTTGATATTTGTAAGTAATTTTTAAATAAGCTAAATAAAGATATCGAGTACCTAAATACTTTACATTCGAAAGAAAAAAATACTTTTAATATTATATGACATAATATAAACAGAGAGAAATTTAACACAATAAAGATTTTCGATGTTTGAATGATGTATTCCTACTGAATTTAACAATTTATCAATTCGGAACGATTATTTACTAACGAAAACAATTAATACTATAATGCTGTATCACATTTAGTGATTTTATTTGTAAAAAAGATAGGTTTGATTATTATTGTAATAATTGAACACCAGCATCTCAACTGCATTGAAAAACGTATAAAACCCTGCAGGTGGAAAGGTGGTTAGTCATAAAAAGTTTGAAAAATCAAAAGAACAAGAAAATATGCACTAGGCCGGATCAATGAAAATACATTAAATATGTCGGGTGGCGAGCGGTAACGGTGATCCTATGCATCCTACTGCCTTCGCCACAGCCCCAAATACGACGACATTTTAATAGCGCGTTCTAAAATCTGTCTCTCGAGCATATTATCACAGCAAACCACGTGTGTCCTATACAGTTTATCTCCTGCTCTTTTCCTTCGCAATACACATCGTTAGACTAAACGAACAATACAATATACTCGTATAATTGGTGTTTTATCCAATCGTACGATATAATATAATATTGTGAAATTTTCCATCAACCCGTCGTTTTCTATATCCCATATGAAATATCGCGGGTAATTGAACAGAACAAAAATACTATAAAAGGCACAGTCACGATTCTACTCCTATAATTATATAATTTATAATTATAAAATAATAATTCTCCTAAACAATATTTGAACAATTAAATTTGTACTTAATTGTGTACAGTATTTCATATGATAATATTAAGATGCATTTCTTAATTTAAACTGATGATATAGGTAATCATGCCATACACGCAATGGCGTATAAATCACTTGTATAAGTACGTACATACATGAAGTAAACATTTATTGTGTTCACTCAAGTAATTGAGTTTGATAAGTCAAAACAGAAATTACTTCACGATTCACGTTTAACTCCTTCATTAAATAATATGGATATCTCCGAAGTGAAATGATAAAATACATGCATCCAATAACTGATAAATCTGTTTTTATTTTATTAATTAGAAATAGGTAATTGATATCTTATCTTCGGTGTACTTGATTATTTGCCATCAGTAAATAAAAACAAACAAGTATAATAAAAATAGTCTATCCTGGCAATGACCTAAGCAACATCAGTTGTTTTCGAGTGGTCTATGGTATTACGTCTTTTATCATTGTATCTAGTCACGTGTACCATTACTAAAGGATATTTTCGAACTCTTCGTGTTATCCCATTTCCAAGGCCAATATCATCATCATTGTAGAGATTTTATTATTTCTTTACCAACACGCATTCCTTGTAACAGCGTTATAGTCCCTCGTTGTATCTACCCAACTATATATAATATACTATTTACCCAGTCATAACAATAATAATACTCATGTTAATCCAAAATTCGCAATAACTTTGTATTTTATATATACAACATCCTTTTTTAATATAAATGTATAAATAAGAAAATCAAAAAATATTTTAAAGCAATCAGAATAATTACGATGTTTTACATAATTTACAAGGAAAAAATATATAATACAATAAAACACCCAGGTTATTGCGTGTATTCGGCAGGTGAATTTGTTTGAGGCCAAATAATCAACGGGGGCACGAGTTTTTTATTATTATTGAGCAAACCGGTTTTTTTTTTTTTTTGTTGGATGGTTGTTACCCACCGTAGGTCGGCTTCTAATACACACACACACACACACACACACACGTAAGCAGGGACACACATAGTAATTTCGAATTTCTGGAAATCCAAATTTATGGTAATCAAGCTTCTTTGTCTTATACCTACGTAGCGACACAGATGCAATCGGATTTTAATTTTAAAATATTCGCCGATTACATATTTGCGTTTTTACTAATACAAGAAAATTATGTGATCTAAACGTATTTAAATTATATGATAAAGAAACTAATTTTTTTTTTTTTTTGAGTTCGAAATTCATAATGCCCGATAACGGATTTGTCACTCGTCGGTTACAACGACATAGCACGACATATATTATAATACTCTCGATGCTCATAAAAGAATAATTTTTTTATGCAGACATTGAAGATAATTATGATTATAATTTTAATAAATTAAAAAATATGCTTAACACGTCCCATCTTATCATTTAGTGAAATCAAAGTTAACAATTAAGTATGTCCGTAATTAACTTATTTTATAAATAATGCATATAAGTGATATATATCGTAATATATGTAGTAATATACAGAATTTATACAGTTATCCATCACCAATCGCCGTATAATTTACACGAATTTAAACTAAATAAATATTCAAAAACATTCCGTACTCTTTCGTTAAAATATGCTCTAAAAAAAAAAAAAAAAAAAAAATATATATTAAGGTAAAAATAAAAAGTTTTTTATTATTCAAATATGTACTTAGTATTAAATAATGATCGTATTTATAAAACTTATTAAAGGTTTGCATAAATTATAATAATAAATATTACTAGTGAATATATTGTATTTTTATTTATTTATTCGTACAGCAATATATTGTGTTTAAAATTAACAATAAGTACGATTGGTTAGTCCTTATTATATTTATGGTAATTTATCAGTCATAATGTTTTAAATTCCGAAGTTAAAACTTCTATTATACACTATAAAAAAAATGTACCATTTATTTTGTTTGAGAATGTAGTAAACAATTAAATTTAATAAAAATTAAGTGTCATTATTCTTATAACCCACACAATTTTAATCGATTTTCGCTGTATTGATCACTTATTAAATAAATAAGATTAGTTTCTATACATATTATTATTAAAATATTATGTTTATTATTGACCTTATTTGTTAAGTGATAAACAAAGAGATCTCACACAACCGTTGTGTTCTAAGAACTTAATACCTACGGTTTTCTGAAAATTATCCCACGTATTAACTTTAAAGCAGAACATATATTTAAGACACAATTAAAACCATTGTAATAACAATAGTTTTCTTAAGTATATTACTATTAGTGTTTATCCAATTGGATTAATAAACATGATCTTTACGTTTCAATTTGATAGGGACCTCATTTATAATAGACGTTGAATCTGTCACTTCAAAATATTAATACCAATAATTGTTAATTTAATTAATACTAGAATTATGGTAGTATTTAGTTGATGTAACTATGTAGAAACAAATAATTAACCATAAATATATTTTTACATAAAAATTAAATTTAGAACTCAATCATATTGGTTTTTCAAATATTTTGCTCATATGTTAGAACATTAATATAAATATCAAGTAACGACCCAACAACTAAATAGTATTTGAATTATTAAGTTATTTTACAAAAAATTCTCAAACAATATGAACGATTATAATTCATTTTATACGCCAATAGTGTTTAAAATAATTTGTGAAATTCATGATTATATTATTGTTAACTCAACTTTCATATATTTTTCAAATAATATTTTATTTAATGCATTTGAATATTAATATCAAGCACAGTTATAGATTAAATTTATCATTAGTTGCTAATCAAATAATTCATATCAGATGATAGTATCAATTGTAAAAGCTTTCATTTAAATTTCTTTTATAAATCAAAGCTAAATTATAAAAGTAATTAAATATGAGCCTGTAGATGTTAAAATCATTGAAATCCTTTAATATTTACATACATAAAATAATGTGTGTAAAAAAGTATGATTATAAAAGAAAAAGAACTATATATGAAAATAGTTGAATTAAGAAGTAAACATAAATCACTGTTTAAAGCTTATTGTGATTCTGATTTTACTTATTACTCATTTTACTACACTATATTACACAATGTTAACATCGTGTTTATTTAAATACGTTTTTAAACTATAAATTATTCTAAGCAAAATCATAAGTAATTTTTTAAAAAATATTAAATATTTTATGAAGTAATAATATCAGAAGCCTATTACTATTTGTTTTATAACATTATAAATCAATGATATTCTTTAAAAAAAATCAAATTTCAAGTCTATAATCTTCAAAAAAATAAAGATATCGTATAATCCAGTGGTGGCCAAACTTTTTTTTTCTCGAGCCATAAAAAACAACTTTTTTTTATCGCGGGCCATAAAAAAATGCATTCTAAATTTTTTTTTACGTAAATGCAAAATATTACAGTTATACAAATAAGTGCTGTAATATAGAAGACTTTCGCGGGCCAGATATTAAATTATGGCGGGCCGGAGTTGGCCCGCGGGCCGTAGTTTGGCCACCACTGGTATAATCGATATGATTTATAATTTACATTTCTTCTCATATTTTTTCAAATCTTTAACTCTTAAAAAATGTATAAATTATTGGTTTTTGAATGATATTAACTATGTTCGAGATAAATATTTGATAATATTATAATATTAACTCTTAAAAACAATCAAATTGTTTAAATAAAAAATTTGAAATATTCAAAATTAAAATTTCTGAAATTACATACATATACAAATAAAATTTACAGTTCTTGAATAATTTAGTGAGGATTTCAAGAATCTGAATTCATGAATAAATTCCGAAAATCTAAAATATTTTCATTACGTACTGTTGTCAGCGAATGTTTCGCTTTATTTTCTGGAAAATTCTAAAAATAAATGATTTAAAATAACATCCGTTTGAAATTGTCATTTTTCAATAATCTATAAAAAGCAATTTAATATTTTTTACTTAAAAAAATACATACATCCTGAAATAAACATTAATAAGTTTTTGCTATTATTTAGCTTCCAAAATTCAAAATTAATTAATACTAAAAAAAAAAAATGTACAGAACGAAGGAAGCGTTTAATAAAA